CAGCTGATTTCTACATAAATGTTATTTTCATTAAGGACCTAATTATCTGTTTCGAGCATATTGATTTGAAAACATAATAATATGTTAACATGGAGTAACTCAATTTGGCGTCAAGCGAAACGATCCTTGATAAGAGTTACTGGTTGCATAAGTACAAGGTTAAATATTTCTGTTATAATTTTATTTAACATTTGTTGTTTATCTCTAGAAATTTTGAAATAAAAACGTTACTTAATGTCAAGTATTGTAATTTTATTTAAGCATTAATTCTCAGTGAATCTTGTATCCGTAGAAAAATGATAGTTACTTCGAAGTGACTTTTTTTTCAATTAATTTTAACTAAAATAAGATATTTTAGGAAACATCTTCGTATTATTATTATTCTAGAATGCACAATCAGTATGAATCTAACTATCGAATATTAGTAAAAACAGCGTAAAGTGTATTGACCAAAATAATTTTTTCTTATTGAAATTAGGACGACTATTGATCATATTGATATGATTATAGCTAATAATTCAGTTTGTTTTCAAACTATCGAAAAGAAGAAAAGAAAACCGATGGTAATGTCTTAAATAACTAAAACAAATATCATTTTTTATTTTACGAATACCTTAAGTAAATATTTGATCGTTGCTTATATAAAGAAAACATTGTTCATGTTTATTTATTGAATTTTTTTAATATTTGCATGCTGATAAATATGAACATTCTCGAGAAAAAAGGATCACTTTTGTTTACTAGACTCTTAAATCGAGATTTTTTAACTCTGATCAACGATGAACTAAGAAAGGCTTTTTTTCAAGGGTGGGTGTGGGCTGTGGGTGTCGATTTAATGATAAACCCACGCCTACGCCCACACATCCACACTCACACCCCAGTATAATATTTTCTAATAGTCTAAAACCATTGTTTTTTTTTAAATTGTACAAAAAGACGAATTCCAGAAAAAGCAATAAATTCTAAAAGCAGTCTATCCGAAAGCATGAGGCTTCTTGCAATTCTCTAGAAAAATTCGGTATTACCGTGCAGTCCGCTCAGGAAAAGAAATTATTGAATTTGTTTCACAAGTTTTTCTTTACGCTTTACCGCCCAGGGTAGATAACTATGCTTGTGACATTTGTTCGAAAGTGAAAGTCTTTAGGATGAACAAAAACTAAGTTTTGAAGAAAAACAAAATGTAAGTCTTTTAGGCGTATTGCGCTAATGAAAATTTTAGTCTGTTGCAAAGCAAAAGATTATAACCGACTCTTCGAAAACTCTTGTTTTGCTATGTAGTCTTTCCAAACCAAGACTTTCTTACCCAATTTAGAAGAGTTTCGACGTGGTTTACCGCCGAAGACCGTTGCTCTGGCAGAAGTTGTCCAAAGAAAGAAACTCAAAATTTCGAAGAAAACAAAAATTTGCATATTTTTAGGCAAATGACATCCGCTCACTTGGCAATAATTCGTATTACGTATGCCAAGTCTAAACTTATGCAATCGTTGTTGACACTTGAAAATCTCAATAGTCTGCCTGTATGATTCCAACTTCATATCTGTACAAAATGACTGAGCCTAGAACATGACTTTTTTTCGAATTTATATTAGAAGATGTTTCGTAAGAGGTATAAAGGAGAAAAACTCAAATGGGGTATACAATGTGTACCTCAGAGGTACAGATTTTTGTGGTATACAAAAGATCGAAATGGGGGTACAGGTGGCACCCCTGTTATCCACCCTGATCCCCAATAATCTGCCAAACTTGCGAAGACTTTGTTTTCCTTGAATGCGAGAATGATGCGTTTTAAAATTACTTCAAAACTTCTAGAACACTCCTTATAAGTGACGATTGTTTCTGATCATTGACATTTTAGTTTATTTATAAGATTTCTGGAATAGAACTTGACATAGACATATAAAGTGAATATACAGATTTATCTTGATTAGACAGAACGCACAAAATCAACGTTTCCGCTGTAATAATACTGACCATTGAAAATGTTAACCTTCAAAGTTGACTGGCTAATCTTTATATAACCCTTGGTCTGTATTATTTGTTGAAAATATTCGTAGGCCTTGAAAATGCATGTATGGAGTGGTTGATTATTATTTTGTTTACATGCTACGACTTCGGCGTGTGTTATTAAATCACGGACGGAACTATCGATTCTCACTTTAAAGCCGTTGTTGCCGACCACACTGACATACATTGGCCGATGGGTATCAATGTAACTGAGTGCTTGGATTGCATTTGTGTATATATCACGGGCTATGATTCCATCTGAGTATTTATCATCAATAGATAGACTCCTTTGTGATAGCAACAAAATCATCGCCATGATAAAATGAACAGGTAGTTGCATATTACTATATGGTAAGTTTTCGATCGTTAAAGAATCTATGACAGCATGAAGTGCTTTTTATAGTCCTCATTTAGTGATTAGTAGCGTGTTCCTATATAATCACTTTCAATTTGAGTTCCTCAGTAATCGACCGGTGGCATCTGTGCTTGTTTCTCACAGAACGAGTAAAACAATAAATGAAATAAGAAACTGACTCAATCGGTCAATAGACACACGTATACATTCCATCTATTCTTAGAAAAGAAGTATATCTGTCGAGAATATGTTGCATCAGTTACTTTCTGTGATTCATCGTTTGAGATAAAAAAAATCGAAGAATGCCTCATTTCCTAGTTGTATAATATAAATACGACAGTCACTCGGTAATTGATGTTCCAACATGACTCGCTTTCTAATTGTGGTTGTACTCGCGCTCGTCACCATCTTAAACTTAGGCAGTATGTAGATAATTTATATGTTGCTTGCACTGTACTATGTTTTATTTTTTTCCAGTCATAGTTTCTGCTCAGTTTTGCGGTCAATCAATGGCTACATGCGCTGCAGGCACTAGTGCATGCGTCAGCCGTTGTCGGGGATGCGGATATAACGGTGGTCGCTGTGATGGTCTTTTGCCACCGATTTGCCGATGTTATTGATAATGACAAAGATCATTTATGGATAACAAACAAGAATATTTTGTCTTTCGATCCCATTATCATTTTCTTTTTACTTTTGTGATACAAGTTTTACTTCACCTTGAATAAAATATGACTATTTTTCACAACTGTATCCTTTATTCTCAATGGAAAGAATATTATTACATTTCAAAATCAGAATTAAAAAGAGCCAGATTTATCTAGAACATTGAATACTGGCATGTGTCACAGAAACGTCTGTGAGAGAGGCAAAGGCTCACCAGTGACGAAAACTTTTCTGTTACACGAACACTGGTTTTTCGTATCTCTACGTAATTTTTTCACCTAAAACGAAGAAGGTGAGTTTCCTGAGGTCTCCTCGGTACGTTTCTCACATACAATGGAAAGAAAGTCATTTCTCATGTTGAATGTTATACTGTGTTCAGTCGTCAAAAACGTCGATCAAAGTGGAAGCCAGATAATCATGATGACACGCCGGTATATCTTCATTTCTCTGCTACTTTTGCAGGCAGGGTGTAGCGACCGGGGGGGGGGGGGGGGGGGGGGGGGGGTGCAACCCCCCTTGTTTTGCGTTTTTTGGTTTTTGTGCGACGGAAAGAGGGGAGGAGGAGGGTATTGGGTGGGTGGTGTGTGAGTG